GAAATTTGAAACTATCAGAATTGCTCCCTGCCTTCACTACGAACTTCTTTAAAGTTAAGACACAATAACACGCCGAATAAATACTAATTCAGAAGTCAAACAACAAAAAATAATTGTAAATATAACGCTGATTTTTGTTGTTTGACTTCTGAATTAGTACTTCTTTAAAGTATCGACTTCTTTCGCAATTGCTGAAACCCTGTCATCAATTTGTTGCTCTACCGCAGAAACTCTTTCTTGAATTTCTCCAACTTTGTCTTCAACTGTATCTATTCTTCCTTCCATAGCTTTGAACTTGTTTTCTATTATGCAAGTAATTTCTCTCTTCGATTCCTCTTGACCTACATTCATTTCCTCTTTAACAGATTTCATCTCTCTTCTAACAGATTCTTCCATCTTTTCATGACCAGATATTATCTCCTCTTTAACGGAATCTTTCATCTCCTCTTTAAATGATGCTTGGCCAGCTTCCATCTTTTCTTGGAATGCAGCAAAAGCAATAATTAGCTGCCTCAATTGTTCTTTCATCACTCTAGTAATTAGCATTCAAATCCCACTTCTGACACCAAAAAATGTTGCATGCGTATGGGTTCATTGCGAAATGAATGCACAAGTCCGATGAAAAATGAACAAAAATTTATTATTGTCACAACAAATATGCTTAAATTTCCTCAAATTATCGTGCAGTATTTCAATAACTCACAGTAGTTATCTTTTAACTACTCAAACGTTCAATAGAACGTAACTCAAAACAGCTGAAGAAAGCTAATCCGCGAATTCGCTACAATCAACAAGAGCAGTTTTCTAAACAATAACAAACTAAGTAACTACTACAAACTAAGAGGTTTTCCTCCTTTTATAAGATTTTAAAATCACGCACGAGAATTTTCTAGTACTTTCTCGAAATCAAAAAGACATATTTATTTATTTAATGTTAAATGCACGTGCTCTTGTATTTTTAATTTTCCGGCTTAGCTTTTTTCTTTTAATATTCGTCAGTGAACAAGAAAGGCTAGTGCACGTGCGCGGGACGCCTACCACAGCGCTGCGACGGCGCTAGAATGAAATGGTACTTAGTTTCCGAATACGCTGCGTGTTTTTTCTGTATGCTATAAAACCATGAGAACAGTAGTCATTCAAAATTTTAGATGAATTTTTATTTAAAATTACAGCCACATAAACTAATGGATTATAACCCTTTTTATATTAATTAAGATTAACTGTATACATGGAGAAAAATATATTGTATCAAAGAAATAATTATACTGTAAGCAATTTTTACAGTTAGATTTATGCTGTTTTTCAAACTAAGGCATCCTTCTGAGTGGGAATTAATTTTTGGCTAATTTTAAAATTAGACATATTGTTGGAGACCGAAGAGCTTTAACATTTTAAAAACTATTTGAGTAAGTAAAAGTCCTCCCCCCCTTTTTTTTTTTTTTTTTTTTTTTTTGTAGAATTTTTTTAAATTTTGATGTGTAATTGAAATGGAAATGAAAAATGGTATGTAGTGTAAAGGATTATAGATCGATTTTGTACTCGTAAAGTATTTACATGAATAAGTAACATCTTCCTGCTAATTATACCTCTTTTCAAGTATGTCCTTACATAGTTCCATTCTGTGTAGTGAGGCATTATCTATCAAAATTGCAGTAAACATTGTTGACTTTTTCTTCAACTTGGGATGATTCAAAATTTCAGTGCCATATGGAGATAGTACACATTTATTAAAATAGTACATAATATGAAGATGACAAGCAAAAATCTATAAACATTTTATTTACACTGTAATTACTTATTTAAAGGCAGTGTTTCTATGATTAGTTTGACAAGAAATGTTCAGATTTTCATGCATTCCTTCTGACATTAGTATAGCTAGGATGCTACATTTATTAACAGAAAATGTAAAATATGCCTGGCATATTTCAGATACATCTAATATATCCTGCCAATATTTTCTGTATTAAGTCTTAGTTAAGCAACTGGAGTATTATTGCGTGCATACGGATTCGTTACTAAATGAAAGCACAAGTACGATGAAAAATGAACAAAAATTTATTATTATCACAACAAATATGCTTAAATTTCCTCAAATTATACAGTATTACAATATCTCACAGTAGTTATCTTTTAACTACTCAAACGTTCAATAGAACTTAAAACAGATGAAGAAAGCTAATCCGTGAATTCGCTACAATCAACAAGAGCAGTTTTCTAAACGACAACAAACTAAGTAACTACTACGAACTGAGAGGTTTTCCTCCTTTTATAAGATTTTAAAATCATGCGTGAGAATTTTCTAGTACTTTCTCGAAATTAAAAAGAGATATTATTAAATGTTTAATGCACGCGCTCTTGTATTTTCAATTTTCCGGCTTAGCTTTCTTTTAATATTCGTCACGTGCTGCACTGCTCGGGAAATAAAACCATTTAATATATAAATGAACTAACATTAGCTGTTTAAATACCAAATTCGTAACAGTATGATATATGAGCAGTTTTAAGATAATCACTGCATTAAAAAGTCTGAATGATTGAGATGGTCATGCCTTAGTCCACCATGACTAATACAGCAACCATTAAAGGTGTCCTGAAAATATTATTTGACTTCATGCTTGAAATATATCGAAGCTCAATTGTGCTGAAATTGTGTGTGGAAATAAAGGGAACAGTATCTGGCAAAACCTGTTGTAAGATTGTTTGATACATGGCATCTCTTCAGTCTATAGTTGCTTGAGAAAATAGCCTTCAACAGTAATAACCCAGATGTTGTTGATAAAATTATTATTGAAATATATGTACATGTAGCTTATCACACTTCCACATGTGCTTATTGTGAATATTCAGAACATCCCTTTCAGAAGAAAGCAAAATTATCTAAAAACAGTGGCATAGCTAGGGTGGAACAAAGGGGAACATCTGTCCCCAGGCGCAGCATCCAAGGGGTGCCAAATTGATGTGATGAAATTCCAGAATGAAATGTTTTCCATTCTTGGAACACAGAAAGAGGTGCCAAATTGATGTGATGAAATTGCAGAATGAAATGCTTTCCATTCTTGGAACACAGAAAGGAGTGCAAAATCTTCAGTTGTCCCCGGGCGCTGAAAACCCTAGCTACGCCTCTGTCTAAAAAGATTGCCATTACTGAGAACTTTGTGTGCAGCTTTTTGCTCTAGTAAAATCAGCATACTAATCTCTGGGCTGTATTGCCTGCATATGTTATAGATGAAAGGAATGTAGACCTTACAAATGGTAAATGGGATAGACGGACGATTGAGGAACACAGAGATTACATGAAGTCATTCAAGTATTTTTCGTTGGAATCTAATCCATTTCTTTCAAAATGCTTTATTCGATGTCAAGTGTCCACATTCCATCGTATACATAGTGAATTTAAACAAATTTAAATTCTTAACAAATACGTATAAAAGTAAAAAAGCAAATTTAAATTCTAAAAAAAGGAAAAAAGCCAAAATAATTAAAAATAATTTTAAAAATGTGCAAACATGTAAAAGATTTAATTCTCGAACTAATCTACAATATCATTTAAATTCAGAAGCATAAGCATCAAGTGCAAAATCTATCCATGAAAATAATCTACTAATTTAATAAATTAAAATTAAAATAAATATACATAGTGAAAATACCTATATTGTGCCCATTTGTTGATGAGCATAGCAAACATTGCATGACAGGTGCTTATTTGTTCAAGAATCTCAAGCTGTAGGCAAACTGCTGCTTGACCATTGCATTTAACTACCATACATTAGATGCATAGGAGTTTGCAGTATATGTAATACTGCATGTTACTTGTTCACAATCCACAGATCAACTGACACAGGCTGCCCTTCCACACTTTGATCTCATTACCAGTGTTCTCTAGCACCTCCATATGGCATTTGCGTCGCTATCTCGCTATGTAATTTTTATTTCTTTCCATATGCCTAAATTTCCCATCTGTTTTGCTTGCAGAATTATGGAATTCTGTATAATATTCTTCTATTGTGAACTCAGAGTTTGAAAACCCTTATTAAGGCCTAAGGGAACTGTTTTGAAAAGTAAAAATTAAGTAAGATTCTTGGCAGAATTCTTTGCGCATTATGAATTGGAAAGCTATCCTTCTCTGCAGAATTTTATGTGCATAACCCTTGGAGGGTTAATTGTATCACAGATGTATCCATTACATTTTGAAAGTTTAATCGGAGTGTATAGTGAATTCATAGCAAGTAGCTGCATCAGAAAGGTTTATAAAGAATCTCAACTAATCACAAACTAAATATTAAATTGTCCTAATATTATCCTTGAAATGTTAGTTAATTAAGTATGAGCATGAAATTAATTTTGGCCAATTAGGCAGAATGTTTAAAATTTTTCAATATATTCTATTTCCTCCTTAACTATTTGTTTCATATTTTGCTATAAAAATGCATTTACAAGTTAAACTGGTAACATTTTACCTCTTTAACCCACTGAGCTTTACAGATTTGGTCCTGAAACCATGAAGTACTCCAAAATGTCATGAATAAATGATATTTATGATTATAATTCTAAAATAACCCTCACACTTTGTACTATAACTTCTTTTCTTCTAATATACATCAAGCCTGAAATCAAATTCGTTTGGAACTGGCAGAATTCTTTGTCCATAATGAACTGGAAAGCCATCCTTCTGTGCAGAATTTTACATGCATAACCCCTGGAGGGTTAACAGTATTACAGATGTATCTGTTATATTTTGAAAGTTTAATCAGTGTGTAAAGTGAATTCATAGCAAGTAACTACATCAGGAAGGCTTACAAAGAATCTTAACTAATCACAAACTAAATATTAAATGATTCTAATATTATTAGAATCCTTGAAATGTTCAAGGATTCCAATAATTAGAATTATTATTATTAGAATCCATTATCCTTGAAATGTTAGTTAAGTATATGTGTTTGCTGTATGCATTATTGTTTTAATGTGTTTATGCACAATATTTACATTTATGATTTTTTTAGGGGTAATTTGATACTTGATAATTATTGAAATGAATCGAAGATTATCTGAAGAAGAATTATTTAAGAGACTGAAAAGTAATGATGTATCTATCATCTACTCTGCCCTTGCTAATATTGCAAATTATTACGGTAGAAATTGTGAAGCAATGAAAGTATTAGAAAAGTATTCTGCAATAGAAAACATTATATCATATCTTGAACATCCTAAATTGTCTAGTTTTTCTGTCAGCATTATTGCAGATGCTTGCCTCGAAAGTAGCCTAGTCCAGGAAATCATCAAAAATAATGCTGTAACAGTGTTGATTCGAATAATGAAAAGTACAGTGACTGACCAGATACGAAGCAGAGCTTGTCGAGCTTTAGGGAATATAGCATTGTCTGAATTGGGTTTCACTTCCATTCCTGGACAAGAAATTGTTCCTATCCTTGTCCGGTTTTTGACTGAAACAGTAGATGTAAATCATCAACAGATTGCTTTGAGAACACTAAGAATTTTGGGCAAAAGCTCTAAAAATCGAGTAATAATTGTACGTGCAAAAGCTTTAACTTCCATTGTCAGTTTATTACATTCTTCTCATAAAAAAGTGTTACTTTCTAGCATCAAAACTCTTTCAGAATTGTCAGCAAATTGCAATAAGGAATTAGGAAATCAGCTTATAAACCTAGAAGTGCATACGATTTTAGTAGAATTATATTCTCAGGCTGAATCTCCGGCACAGAAGTGTGCTTTAACGACTTTGAAAAATATGTCATACTGTCATGAAATTAAGAATATTTTAGTAAAAGCTGGTGTTCTGAATACATTTGTAGAAGCAGCAAATAATCTTCAGGACTTTGAAATAAGTAGCATTGCTATATTAGCACTTTGTAAGTTTTTAGATCGAGTTTTTGCATTTAATATTGAAGAAAAGAATGCTATATTAAAAGTACTAATAGATGTACTACAGCTGAATACCTACAAAACTATTCATGCACACATTATTTCAGCCTTATTTCCACTATCTTTTACTCCTGAAATGACCGAAGTGCTTCAGGATTATAAAATAGTTACAGTTTTAATACGTCTTTTGAAGTATTTCATTAATTTCAATAAATTTAAGCACGTTAATCCAGAACCTACAATTTGTGTTGATAATTGTAATTCTGTAATAAATTATGCTTCTAGTTTTTCTAATTTAAAAGAGGGATTTAAAAAATTACCTAGTTCATTTCCATCTGTCTTAGAAAATATCCCAAATCCTGAAGGAAATGCTGAATGTTCAAAAGAAAGTCATTTTAGAGTAGATAAAGGTCCAGTTGCAGGGAAATCTTTAAATAGAAAAAGTGAATCTAATGTAGTATCTTTGATAGATAATTCTGAATCTTTTGACAAAAGCAGAACTGAATACTCAGTTTTATCTGCATATGATGAATTTGCTAAATCTGAGCAAATTTCATCTCTAAAATTATCTGATTCCTTGGAGCAGTTAGGAAAACATAATATTGATGAAGAAAATTGCAAATTATCTATGTTAAATACTGAATGCAGTACGAGTTCTGATCATGAAAAAAAACGTAAAGCTGAGCATTTGAAAGAATCTACACATGAATTTTCAACACATGTTGCTAATGGTGAACACAAGAGAATTAAAACTTCAGAGAAAATTTCTGTACTTGAAGAAAAGGTGAAGATCTCTAAAACAGAGCATCTTCGAAAAGCAGATGTATCTGATCACCACATACTGAGATTTTTATTACAAATTGCTTCCCATAATGAAATAAGGGCTTGCTTAGATTTTACAAATAAAGCAAATTTTATAGTTCTTTTGGATTATATTTTTTTGATTCCTAATCCTGATTCTAAAGCATTAAAGTGTCTATCAAAAGTGGCAGAAAACGTGAATTGTTTTGAAAAACTAATCATAAATGGTTTTTTCATGGCAATAGAAGAAAATTTTAAGAAAATGCATGATTTTAAAATCTGCTACCATTGTTCCCAGGTAAATGCAATTTTTAACCATATCTATCTTTCTGCTAGCACTGTAGCTGAATCAAACTATGGAATTGGTATTTTACATAAACTTCTATCAAGTTCTGAAAAACAAAACCAGTTAAATGCTCTGCATATAATCTCAAGAGTTGTAAAAAATATGTCGTCTGGACTAAAATTATTAATTCTAGGGAATGGTTTATCATTATTGACTGAATTTTTAAATGATACTTCAAAATCTATTAAAATTGGAGCATTTCTGTGTTTGTGCGAATTATATAAAAAGGCAGAACCCATTAAAAGTCTAAAGGAAACTCATCAAATTATAAAAGGAAGTTTTTCCTCCATAACACATTCTGAGCCATGTTTTAAATGTGCCTATGAAAATGCATTGCAAGATGTTACATTTGCTCTTGATAGTGGTGAGAAAATATCTGCTTCTCGCAAAGATCTCTCTCAGAATTCTGAATATTTTGATGCTTTGTTAAATGGCCATTTTTTAGAACGGAGTGAAAATTTAATAATTCTACCAGATATATCTGTTAAAACCCTAACAATTATCTTGCATTTTCTGCATGGTTGCCAAGTTCAGTACTGTCGGAATATTCAAATGATTTCCCTGGATGTCTTGCTGGAGTTGCTGTCTTCATGTGAAAGGTTATTGCTCACTGACATTAAGGCTTTTACTGAAAAACTGTTATTAGAGTATATGCATCCCAATACAATTTTTAATATCTATTCCCAAGCAAAATTGTATAATTCTTTTATATTAGTAGCGAAAGCTGTGGATTATGTTCTATCAATTCATACTTTTCAACAAAATAATTTGCTTAGGTATTTCGAAGAATTTATGAACTCTCCTTCATATTTCAGCTTTATTGATGACATAAAAAGGATGACTGAAAATAAATTTAAGGATTGGCTACTTTCCAGCTAAGAAGTTCCACTTGGCACTATAAGTAAATATTGATGTAAAATCTAAATCCACTAATGTGAGCTTTTGACACCAGAAAGAAACAAAGAGCTTTTGAAAGAGGAATGGGCAAACCTTCATGTTGGCATCTGCTCTTTGAATTATTTTGTGATATGATCTTTCATTACATCACTGTTTCAGCACTTGTGTAATATTAAAATGCAGTTTCATTTTATGGTCTTCTGTATAAAGTCTTTCAGTATAGACAACACCTTTATCATGAAAGACTGTTCACCATTCGAGAATTCCCAGATTGTGTAATCCATGCTAATTCTCCTTACAAAACAAAAGAAAGAAAGAAAGAAAGGAAAAAGGAGTCAAAGGCAAAATTACAGAATCAAAATGTTCCTTCTTCTCACTTACTTGCAATTTTGACATTGCATAGATATGTGTGAAGTAAAATGAACAGGTTACCACATTGACACTTTAGTGCTAAATTATGACTGGCACCTATTCAACCATAAAATACCAGAAAATCCTTTTTGGTAAAATCTATGAAAGAAAATATGATAATTGATAGTCTTTAAATGTACATGCTAAATAAGATTGTATGTTATCAATAACTTTTTTTATTAAGTTGAAAATTTTGTTTTTTTTTTTTTTTTTGTTATAAAAGATATCAAGTAGTGTCTTTTCATGAATTCTGAATGTCTGTAAAATGATGTATTTATATAAATATACAGGAATTTTCCAAACTATTAGAAATGTATGCTTTATAAAGTTAACTCTTTGCAATCAAATGTCTATTTTTTAGCCACCAAAGCTTTATTGTTCCAGTCATAGGTCTGCTCCCAGCCAACCAAAGTTAGAGTACTTTTCCAGTTGTAAGTCTGCTTTGAGCCACCATAGCAAAGAACCATACTGATCTTATATTAAGCCACAAGCTTCATAATCTTGCATATTATGTATTACTCTTTGTTCAATTAATTCCAACCACCATGATATCAATGTATAAACTTCAATATGACCACAAAGCATTAAATTTGTTTCTGCTGATTGCATGATAGCCATGAAAGTAGTAGTAACTTTTTTATGTGGTTATTTTAGATATATTCTCTGTTGTATGAAGTATCTAATGAGGCTTGTAAATTTTTATTCATTGTGACAAAAAATGAGCTATTTGACAAGGTTCCAAAGAAGTGAAATTATTAGCTCCTGGCTCGTTGGTGCATCTTTAACCTCAGTCGTAAAATTTGGAAGATATCGAGAAGTACTGTATTGATCGAATGTTAGCATACATATTTTTAGAAAACTTTGTCCGTGATGCAGAATTTTGGTTGGAAAGTAAAATTTATTGACAGAGCCAGAAGCCGATTGTTACATCAGAAAGGAAAACTATTTGGAAATAAAGGTCTATTATGCTAAATATGCATCAACAGAACTCATATATAATATAAATTTTGGCATATACAATACAAAGGGAATCACATAAGCAGAATGTTGAAGACAAAACTATTAATTCAAAAACTCCTATTTTATAAATAAATGCTAAAAAGAAGTAACTGTTAGATACGACAGTAAATGTTCACCATTTTGTCCAGTCATAAACGCATTTCTACCTAAATAATCTCTGTAAAATTTTAAACGCAACCAAACAAGTTTATTTTACCAAAATATAATGTCTTACAACTGTTTCCACTTAAAGCAAAACTAAAGGGAAAATAATACTACACTGGTTGAATGTATATGAACAATGCTACACTCAACATACTCCTACCTTTTGATAACAGGATTTATATCAAAACAAATATTTAATTAAACTAAAATATAACCTAAAAGTTCATTTTGAAGTTCACTTAAAAGTCTATTTTAAAGTTCATTGAAGCTAGAAGGCACTTTTATAGCACGACCCCCTTCATAATCTAATATATAGCACTCATCCAAATAGTCGTCGAAAGTTTTGCTATCTGGATCAAAAACTAGAAATTACTTTATCAAATGAGGATTTCTTTCTAACCTTTAACCATCCTGTGTGAGTTGACTCGATCATTTCTTTCTGAAACTGTGATTTAGAATAACTTTTGGAATTTGTAATCTCAACACCTGATGTTTCAGAAGCACTTTTTTCAAGCTATTCTTTAATGCACTCATCGCTTTTACTTGGTCCAATCCAATGGTCCCAATCTTCATTATTGAGTTCCTTATCATATGGAAATTTTGCACATTCTTCTTCTTGAATAGCAAAATAATCATCATTAAAAAGCTCTTTCGTTTTCTGGTCATGGTTTTCAGAATCACTTTCAATATCATCTTCATTAAGGTTGAATTCATCTTGGCCAGGCACTTCTTTTATCTTTAAAATTTTTTCTTCAAGTTCTTTTCTGTTTAAACCTTTCAAACGTTTTAGTTCTTCTCTTTTCTGCTCTTTTTTCCCTTTTGTTTCTTTCAGCGTATTCGTCACACTTCTTCTTTCTTTTATTATCAACACATCTTAGAGAATCTTCAATCATCTTTGGATATCGTTTAATGAATTTTGAATCCGACTCCTCAAATTGGAAAATATACTTATGTTCAAACAATTCTTGCTTTTTCATATCTTTTTCTTCATCACTTAGCACTGCAATATCTGTTTCTTCATACCTCGGAATCTCATCATTTTTATATTTGCTTTTACACTTATCTAAAGTAAAATCTCTTAAAAATTTCTTATTCTCATCCAAGTTTGGATCATTTCTAAATTTATTCAAAAAGGACATTTCTTTCTTAACATCTTTTGGTACTTCTTTATCTTGACCTTTTAAACATTTTAAATAATCAGCCTCTTCATCTTCTCTTAAATTTGCCATAAAATGATCGTTAACGACCTTATCAATTTCACTTCTAGATTTCAATTGAATGGGATCTGTAATGCCAATGGATGCTAATTCACCGAGGTTTCTGATATCTTCATTGTGAATTAAGAGGGAGGTAACTACAGCAGCAATAGAATTTTTACCTTCAGTTGTTGGCGATATACCCGTCAAAACCCATCTAAGCAGTGTTTTCATGGCAAAAATACCTGAACTTAATTTCTGTATTTTTCCTGTATAAATATTTCCTGCAAAGTCAAAAGATCAATCTGCAGGTTGACACAGTCAACTTCTGTGATATGAATTCGCTTTCCAGCTTATTCTGATGTACAAGGTCTTTTCTGTAGACTAGGTATAGATCCACAAATTATAGGCTGATCTAAAACAGGAATCTTGCAACTATAACCAGTATGCAGATTCTCAACATTTATGATTCATATCAGGTGTCCTTCCTCCAAACACAATGTGTGTTAATTTTTTATGAGCTTCTAATCATATTCCTAAGGATTCTACTGTTGATTTTAAAACATAGGAATATTCAGATCCAGTATCGATCAAAGCTCAAAGATGAAGTTTCTTTCCTTCATGTTGAATAGCAACCACCTAAAGTTTGAAGCAAAACTTTTCCTGAAGTGCATGTTGAAGAAAGAGTGCTAATTTCAAAATTTCCTTGATTGCACTCGACAGGAATTTTTGATTTCTGCTTAAATTCTGGACAACAAACAGTGTAATGCTTCCTACCACAAAACATGCATATAACTTTGCTTTTACAATTTTTTGCTCGATGGTTTGTTTTCAGACATGTAAAGCAACATTTTTTCTCTTTCATAATTTTCAATTTTTCATCATGACTTGAATTTTAGGCTTTTTATTAATCTTTGCTTTGATGAGATTTGTCGCAGAATATACAATTTATTACATTATTGTTATTTATTTCATTTGTTCCCGAAAACAAGTTGCTTGCAGTAGGTGTAGTAATATTTTTTCTATCCTTATGAATTTTTCTGTAGGAATCATTTTGCTTCATACCTGACTTTCCTAGAGTTATTCTTTCTTATCTTTCGACCTCAGCCATTAGAAAATTTAAAAGCTGGGTCAGTCTTGCACTGTATGATTTCTCTTCATGTACTGAATTTCTCAACCAAACTCTCAACATCTCTTCTGGAATACATGACTCCTCCTTAACAAGTGGGAGGAGCATTGCAGAATATTTGTCTGAGGTCATCCCAATGGATTGTAATGATCTGAGGTAGGATTCAAGTGTATCATAAAATTGAGTAATACTAAGTCTTGATTTCGTAACATTTTTAACAACTAAAGTTAATAGGGTACTTTTCCATTTCGCCGGCACAAATCTCATCAAGCAGACTTTGTTGGCGACAACACACAGTATACACATAAAAAAATTTTAGCAAATGTTAGTGTTAAGAAATTTTTACTTTGAAGGCATAAACATTTTAAAATCGTTTAAAATTTTGTAAAAAGACAATAAATTTGTAAAAAGACATTAATTTAAGAATTTATTATGCTTTTAAGGGTCAACATACTGATTCGCCATTTCATATCACATGACACCAAGTTATCTCATTTCTAGTAAACTACGCTACAAAAATGTAGTTGTTTCAGTGATTATCTACAATAATTTGAAGTTAAATCTTAATTTGGAATACATGTTCAAATGCAAGAATTATTTCAATTCGTATGAGTAGCTTATTCAGAAATTATGTAAAATTGCAGTGCATTCTCATTAGAATTGATGAATTTAACCCTTGGCTTTGCCTTTCCTATATTTTAGCCTTCATGTGAGCGATCTGATTGCATCTAATTGACTTAATTATTGAGAATGGCCTTAGGGCATAAAATTGAACTATCTGGTAAAAATTCTATGTAATTGTATGTCAGTATTGAGAGAAACAATCAATCTGATAAGAAATGGCTGTGTCTTGTTTTGAAAATGAGGCGTGAAAGGTCACCAGAGAGGATATTCCGTTTGGCATCGGTTGTACCATTTTGGGCGACTTTATCTCTTGTGCCGGCAAAATGAAAAAATACCCCTTAAGGGTTCACAGTTAAAAGTCGTTGATGCGGCCTCGTTTGGATTCGGAGATTCCGGATTATAGATCATCAGTTTAAATCTGGTAAGATGGCATGCAGAAATTATAAAATTAAAAATATGAAACCGTAATTTGTGAAATAAAGAACAATTATGATATAAAGAGTATCAAAATTTACAAAAGGAAAAAGCTTAATATTTATTTGCTTACTTTATTAAACATTTCTTTCAATGTAAGTTGTTTAAGTTGCTTCATTTCATGTGATAATACTTCCTCTTTAATTCTATAAACAGACATAATTTCTTGTTCAGTTACAAAGTTCCGCTGTTCAAGTCCTATAATTGCTGTATCGAGAATACCGACTAATTTGTCAATCGAAATTCTTTCGTTTTCGAAGTTTCTTCGCTATCGGAAGCAAATTATAATGACGAGGAATTTGATTTAAATCATATGAAAGACGGAGTACATCGAGATGAAATACTACATTTAGTAAGGAATTATAAGCCAAATAAAATAAAAACATCTGCCCTGAAGATAAGGATAGTGCTGACAGATCAACTTCCAGTTCATTGAGTGCCGCGACGTTCCCCCCCACACACACACGCAGAGCAGCGTGAAATTGATAAACAGATTTCATAATGGTTAGATAAACAAATTCATTATCCTTTATTCGTTTTTTGCAGCAATTCCACTTTTTGTTTAATGGACTTCGAAACATACTTTCGCTTTGTAGATCTTTTATATATTAGTAAATATATATCGGAAATTCTAT